CCCGGTACCCATTCCCGGTATTCCCGGTGTTCCCGGTGCCACTCACCATCCTGCGCTGGTTGCTGAGGCAGAAGGTGCAGATCTGCCGGGGCTGGCCGCTCTCTCCGTGCCGCCCGGGCGGGGACGCGGCGGCGGCGGCGGGGCAGAGGGCGGCGGGCGCTGCCCCGCGGCACGGCTGCCCCGCCCCGCCGGTTCCGCCGCTATTGCCGGTACCGGCAGCAGCCCCGGCGGCCTCCCCGAGCAGCAGCACGTTGCCGAGGTGCGAGATGTAGCTGGAGGCGAGGCGCAGCGTCTCGATCTTGGAGAGTTTCCTGTCGGCCGGCTCGGTGGGGATGAGCGTGCGCAGCGCCGTGAACGCCGTGTTCACCGAGTTGGTGCGGTCCCGCTCGCGGGCGTTGGCCGTGTGCCGCTGCCGCGGCTCCCGGGACGGCGGCCGCGCCGGGCCGCGGCTGCGCCCCCGCCGCCCGCCCTGCGGGCCCGGCCCCGCCGGCTCGGCGCGGAACGGCTTCTCCTCCGAGCCCGAGCTGCTCCCCTCGTCCTCCGACAGCGCGCTCAGCTCCGCGTACACGAACCGCCCCGCCGCCGGGCGCAGCATGGCGAACGACATCCTGCCGCCGGGATAGCGGGAGTGCCGCCGGGACACCGGGAGTGCCGCCGGGATAGCGAGAGTGCCGCCGGGATACCGGGAGTGCCGCCGGGATAGCGGGAGTGCCGCCGGGATACCGGGAGTGCCGCCGGGACACCGGGAATGCCGCCGGGATAGCGAGAGTGCCGCCGGGACAGCGGGAATACCGCCGGGATACCGGGAGTGCCGCTGGAGCGCCGGGACACCGGGAGGGCCGCCGGGATACCGGGAGTGCCGCGGGATAGCGGGAGTGCCGCCGGGACACCGGGAGTGCCGCCGGACAGCGGGAGTGCCGCCGGGATAGCGGGAATGCCGCCGGGATAGCGAGAGTGCCGCCGGGATAGCGGGAGTGCCGCCGGGATAGCGGGAGGGCCGCCGGGACACCGGGAGTGCCGCCGGGATAGCGGGAGTGCCGCCGGGATAGCGGGAATACCGCCGGGATAGCGGGAGTGCCGCCGGGATAGCGGGACACCGGGAGTGCCGCCGGGATAGCGGGAGTGCCGCCGGGATAGCGGGAGGGCCGCCGGGACACCGGGAGTGCCGCCGGGATAGCGGGAATACCGCCGGGACAGCGGGAATACCGCCGGGATAGCGGGAGTGCCGCCGGGATAGCGGGAATGCCGCCGGGATAGCGGGACACCGGGACACCGGGAGTGCCGCTGGAGCGCCGGGAATGCCGCCGGGATACCGGGAGTGCCGCCGGGATAGCGGGAGTGCCGCCGGGATAGCGGGAGTGCCGCCGGGATAGCGGGAGTGCCGCCGCAGCGCCGGGATAGCGGGAGTGCCGCCGGGACAGCGGGAGCGCCGCCGGGATACCGGGAATGCCGCCGGAATAGCAGGAGTGCCGCTGGAGCGCCGGGAATAACGCCGGGACACCGGGAATGCCGCCGGGACAGCGGGAATGCCGCCGGGACACCGGGAGTGCCGCGGGCAGCGCTCAGCTCCGGCCGCTCATGGCTCCCGCCGGTCCGCTCGGGGGTTTATCCCGCCGCTGCTCCGCTTCTGTCCCGCTTTTGTCCCGTTTTTATCCCGCTTCTGTCCCGCTTCTGTCCCGCTGCTGCTCCGCTTCTATCCCGCTTCTATCCCGTTTTTATCCCGCTTTTGTCCCGCTTCTGTCCCGCTTCTATCCCGCTTCTATCCCGCTTCTATCCCGCTTCTATCCCGTTTTTATCCCGCTTTTGTCCCGCTTCTGTCCCGCCTCTATCCCGCTTCTATCCCGCTTTTATCCCGCTTCTGTCCCGCCTCTATCCCGCGCTGACTGAGGTCCAGTCCCGGTCTTACGGCGCTGCTCCGGGGCGGGTTTGACCGCGGGTCTCTTGCGGGTTTAAGTCTCGCTTTGGGGCGGGTGTGGGGCTTTATCCCGGTTCGTTCCCGGTTCCCGGGCTCGCCGCCGCTCCCGGCGCACGTGCGCATCCTCCGGGAGCCGCGGGCTGGAATTGCGGGAATTTTATAGCGGCGGGATGGGCGGGCCGGCCCCTCCCCCGCGCCCGGCTTCCTTGGAAAAGGAGCTTTTGGGAAGGGGAGCCCCAGGCCCGCCTACCTGAGCTCACCCTCCCTTAACCCCTTCGCCGCAGTCCGGGAAACTCGCCGCTCCTTTCCCGCTTTTCCCCAAAAATTCCCTTGTCCCAGTCCCAAAGATCACCGGAGCTCCCGGGGAGACTCCGGGATCCCTCTGGAATCCCCCCAGCACCCGGGACTCGCCCCATTCCCGGGAATTTCGCCGCTCCTTTCCCGGTTTTCCTGATGAATTCCCTTGTCCCAGTCCCAAAGATCACCGGAGCTCCCGGGGAGGGAGCACTGGGATCCCCCCCAGCACCGGGACTCGCCGCATTCCCGGGAACTCGCCGCTCCTTCCCCGCTTCTCCCCAAAAATTCCCTTGTCCCAGTCCCAAAGATCACCGGAGCTCCCGGGAGGGATCCCTCTGGAATCCCCCCAGCACCGGGACTCACCGCATTCCCGGTTTTCCTGATGAATTCCCTTGTCTCAATCCCAAAGTTTCCTGGGGAGGGAGCACTGGGATCCCTCTGGAATCCCCCCAGCACCCGGGACTCGCCCCATTCCCGGGAATTTCGCCGCTCCTTTCCCGGTTTTCCTGATGAATTCCCTTGTCTCAATCCCAAAGCTCCCGGGGAGGGAGCACTGGGATCCCTCTGGAATCCCCCCAGCACCCGGGACTCGCCGCATTCCCGGGAAATTCGCCGCTCCTTTCCCGGTTTTCCCGATAAAAACCCTTTTTCCAATCCCGAAGCTCCCGGGGAGGCTCTCGGATCCCTCTGGAATGCCCCCACCACCCGGGACTCGCCGCATTCCCGGGAAATTCGCCGCTCTTTTCCCGGTTTTCCCGATAAAAACCCTTTTCCCAATCCCAAAGCTCCGGGGAAGGCTCCGGGATCCCTCTGGAATTCCGGGAGCGCCTGGAGCCGAGGGAATTCACTCCCCACGACATTCCCGGTGTCCCGGGATCCCCGAGGATTCCCGGAGGATTTTCCATGCTGCGTTGTCCCCGTGTCCCTGTTCCTGCAGGGAATTCCGGCTGGGAATTGGGATTAATCCCGGCCCCTTCCCATTCCCGCGGGAGGGAATTGGGGATTAACCCTTGAGGAGCCGCCGCTGGGATCTGCTGCAATTCCCTGCCCGGGGCACGGCAATTCCAGAGGTGTCAGGTGCCATTCCCTGTCCCGTTCCACGGGCAGCTCCCGCTATCCCGGGATGTCCCGGGGATCCTGGGCCAGCCCCGGATTCTCTGGGAATTCCATCCCAAAACCCCAACATTCCATGGGGAGCCATTCCATCCCTCCTGCATCCCAAACCCCTCTCCCGCCCTCCCAGAAAAACCCTGGAAAAGCCTCTGGAAGGGGCTCTGGGATCTCCCGGGATTTCCCTGCCCCCCCCCAGCTCATTCCCAAGATCCACCCCATGGAATCCCCAGGGTATCCGGGAATTCCCCCAGCTCCAGGCCGCCTCATCCCACCCCCAAAACTTCAGGAATCTCGGGTGGCTGAGGAGAGGCGGCATTCCCAGCTGGAAAAGCGCCGGGCTGGCCGCTTTTCCCGAGCTCCCCCCGCTTTTCCAGCGGCGCCTCCCGGGAGCTCCGCGCGGGAGGTTCGTTCCCGGCCGGAGCGCGGCACCTTCCGTGCGCTCCCGCACTTAATCCCTGTCTCGGCAGCTTCCGAAATCCAACCCCTGTCATCCCCTTCCCGGCCCTCTGGAAGCTCCCGGAGCCATCTGCTTTCGTTTAGCGCCGGCGACGATCCCCGCTCCGCCGCGCCGGCGCAATTCCCGGGAAAAGGCCGGATCCCGGCGAGCCCGGCCCGGCTGGCCTTGGGAACGATCCCCCCGGGGGCAGAGGGGGGATCCCAGCCCGGCTGGGGGCGCGGGGACTCCCAAAATCCGTGGGGTCGCGGCCAGACTCTGTGGGATTCCAGCCAAAATCCCTGGAATCGCGGCCAAAATCCGCGGAATCGCGGCCAAAATCCGCGGAATCGCTGCCAAAATCCGCGGAATCGCAGCCAGGGATGTGGAAATGGTCCAAGTCGGAGGCTGGAGGCACAGGGAGTCCCAAAATCCATGGAATCGCAGCCAGAATCCATGGAATAGCAGCTAGAATTCCATGGAATCGCAGCTAGAATCCATGGAGTCACAGCTAGAATCCATGGAATAGCAGCTAGAATCCATGGAATCACAGCCAGGGACAAGGAGATGATTTGGGGCACAGGGAGTCCCAAAATCCATGGAATTGCAGCCGGAATCGCAGACAGGGACAAGGAGATGATTTGGGGCACAGGGAGTCCCAAAATCCATGGAATCGCAGCCAGAATCCATGGAATTGCAGCCAGGGACAAGGAGATTATTGGGGGCACAGGGTGTCTCAAAATCCATGGAATTGCAGCCAGGGACAAGGAGATTATTGGGGGCACAGGGAGTCCCAAAATCCATGGAATTGCAGCCAGGGATGTGGAGATGATCATGGGCAGAGGGTGGGAGTGCAGGGAGTCCCGAAATCCATGGAATCGCAGCCAAAATCCACGGAATCAGAGTCACAATCCATGAAATTCCAACCAGGGACACGGAGATTCGGGGATGCTGAGGGATGGGAAGTGGGAATGCTGAGGGATGGGATTTGGGAATGCTGAGGGATGGGAAGTGGGAATGCTGCAGGGTGGGATTTGGGAATGCTGAGGGATGGGATTTGGGAATGCTGCAGGGTGGGATTTGGGAATGCTG